GGGGGGGGGGGGGAATTCTGGAATAAATCAGGACAGCGAGAGGATACACGAGAAAATATAAGACAAGATGACCACAAAGGAGTTGAGGAAGTCCACAACCTCATTAAAATATTACACTCACCGGTGGTAATCTGGGACGCAATGGGGCAGGTTATTCTGGTCCACTATAAACGGCTCGCCCTGCAGAGGACGGTGGCACACCGCACAGGTGAAGCATTCTGGGTGGTAGGCCTTGCCCATCGCCTTCAGCAAACGTTCAGTAATCTTCTTTTGGCACACTGCACAACATTCCAGCGTGTCCTAAAAACATGGCCCAGCATTGTTACTACAGAACTTCAATGCAACTAACAATATTGTATCAGAATTATTATTAATTCTTTATTAAAGTGTGACAACATATCACTGCTCACCAACATTCTTCCTGATATCTTGTAATAAAAATAACAAGACTGTGTGATGATCTGAAAGCTATGTTTGAAGTTGGCATTACAAAAAATTCCTAGGAATACCTGTCCATCAAGCAACCATGTAATATTCCCATTTTATGGCATTGTCTGTAACTGATTGAGTCACACCAGCCGTTCAGTAAAAACGTATGGTCTAGAACAGAGATGGCCACAAGGTGGAAGTGTGTGTGTGTGTGTATAGAGGGGCGGCCACAGCTTCCCACCTGTGACTCTTTCTCCGGCTTCCCGCCCAGCTGATGTCATCGGTTGGCAGGGAGCTTAGTAGGTTGCTGTGGATGGCATCCCGCCGAGCTCCTGGCAACCAGTGACATCAGTGAGCAGGGCGGGATGGCCGGAGCTAGATGTCTAGCAGATCGCCAGGTATTTCTCTTTACTTGCAGGGAAAAAACAATGAATAACATATATATTTTTTTAATTTTTCCCCAAATTGCCTAAAAAATAACCAATCCAATATGAGAAATCTCCGCCAATACATAATAAGCAATCGTCTTTGAAAGACTTCTTTCCGGCAGGTAAACCTATCTCGGCAGGACGTAAAATCCCCAACGTAGCGCCAATCTGAAAACCGCGGCCGCTCACAAAGAGCTGCTACACTGTAACACTGGGATATGTAATATATATGGCTCCCTGTGATCTCGCCTCACTAACGCTCTCTAATATAATCCACTTAGAGAAGAAGATAAGCGTTTCATCATCACAGTCCGGCTCTCAGCGACGACGACGGACTATTTCTGAAGAGGACGAGGAATGGGGGAAAAAATAATTAAAAAATAATCTGCTCAGAATCAGGCAATTAGAGAGCGGACGGCTAATAACTGTGTGATGAATATGCCGGGGTTGTATTATATGAGAAGAATGCCGAAAACTCTTCTCTGTGACTTGCGCCGGGGACGGGTGACATGTGGTCAAGTACTAGATTCACTTGCAGTTCCACTGAATTAGGATACCGATATCTTTCCCTACCCAATTAATATTGTTTTGCTTTTCTTTGTTCTGTATAAAACGTTATTAAAGCCGATACAGGCGGCTAATACAAGATAAATGTATATAAAACACAGAGCTGTTTTCCCTGCTAAAGGGTTTTGTTGTTCTGTCCATCCAGTCCTGAGATTGCACTCACCTGGTAGCAGTCCTCGCACAGCGGACGCCCTTTATTCTCGTAGTACTGCTGGCCCTGGAGCTGCTGGTCGCACTTGGAGCACGTGAAGCAATGTACGTGAAATAAATGTTCCCCGGCTCGCACCACCGTCTCAGTCCGAGAGAGACCCTTACCGCAGAATCCGCAGAGATCTGAGGGGAGGAGAGAAGCAATAGTCAGTCATTTCTGTGCCTGTATAGATGCAGCATGTCACCATTGTTATCGTATACTATGTTTCAGTCCAGTGGCTTAACTATAGTAGATCCAGGCAGCTGCTATGGGACCTTGGGGTGGAAGGGGCCCCCTTTAGGTTGTTGAGGCAAACTGAACATATAACATGTGAGGATAACACAGTGCTGCATCATTAAGGGTTGGAGCGGTTGGAAAGCGGATGTCAGATGCACAAGAGGGATGTGTGTGTCATTAGCCACAGCTCAGAGAGAGGTCATTAGGGGGCCCCTCATCACATTTTTGCTATGGGGCCCCGTGATCTGTAGTTATAGCCCTTTCCAGTCAAATCAGTCAGTGGTGGAGGCAACTACTACTACAGCAAGCCTTCCATGGATCTGAAATCAGGGCAGGCACATAAAACATATTATTCAGGGTGTTGGGTTATGGTAGGATAGGTTAGGGTAGGATAGGTTAGTGTGGGTTAGGGTAGGATAGGTTAGTGTGGGTTAGGGTAGGGTAGTAATGCCTATAGCAACTGTGATTGACATTTTGCAGATATTACGGCTATCTAAGCTAATACACACAGATCTGTCTAAATGTAAACAGATAACCAGATGCTGCAGTCCATATCATACTACACAGCATAAGATACTACTCTGAACAACATAGCAGCTGCTACAGAGGATTTCCTGAGCCCAGGATTCAGTGTGCATAGAAAGGGAGAGATCAGATTCCGCAATAACCGCCTTCTCATCTAGATGAACCTGGCTCTGTGGAAGTTGTGTGCACCACAGAAGACTCAGCAGCCTTGAATGATAGGTAGCCCACGGGGGGG